TTCATGAGACAGTTTTGCCATCTTAAGACCATCTGACTAATAAGGAACTTAAGTACGTGGAATATGACCATGTTGCCTCATGATAAGGAACTTTTCCTTCCTTTATCAGAATATAAAGTAGTGCACACTATACGTACTGAAAAATCCCAGGAATCCAAAAGCCGAACATTCATTTCTAAAAAAGTTTTATTTTGGGATTTAAACCATCATTGTAGTTTCATTGTCTAAAAGGGGGGTTTTAAAAGGAATGACAATGGCGCTGTAAATACTTTACTACAGTGTCCCAAAAAACACGTGGCATTTTCTTAAACACACAAGTTCAGTAATTTTACAGTTGAAACAGTAAGCACCGAAAACGACGAGCTCGAAAATTGCTTAAATACTAAATACTCTCTGAATTTTTATTAAAAACATATTCTTTGTTATTAATTTACTTTGGGAAATCAATGATAGTTTTCAATGAAGACCCTGTGTATTGGGATACCCTGTATAAAGGCTCTGTATATTGGGACACCCTGCAATGAAGACCCTGTATTTTGGGATACCCTGTATAAAGGCTCTGTATATTGGGACACCCTGCAATGAAGACCCTGTATATTGGGATACCCTGTATAAAGTATCTGTATTTTGGGACTCCCATCAATGAAGTCCCTATAAATTAGGACACCCAGTATAAATATGAATAATAAATAATATATTCTGTATGTTTCAGACAACTTGTTCCTAAAACTATTCCTCATATTCTACACTCTCTACAGGGGACCATAGAGATACAGAGATACAGGGGGCCATAGAGATACAGAGATACAGGGGGCCATAAAGATACAGAGATACAGGGGAACAAAAAGACACAGTAATACAGAGATACAGGGGGCCATAGAGAGACAAAGATACAGGGAGCCACAGAGATACAGAGATACTGGGGGCCATAGAGATACAGAGATAAAGAGGGTATATAGATATAGAGATACGGGGGTCCATTAGAGATACATAGATACAGAGATACAGGGGGCCACAGAAATACAGAGATACAGAGATACATGGGGCAATAAAGATACAGAGATACAGGAGAACATAAAGATACAGAGATACAGTGGGCCATAGAGATACAGAGATACAGGGGGCATAGAGATACAAAGATAAAGGGGGCCATAGAGATACAGAGATGCATGGGGGCCAAAGAGATACAGAGAAACATGGACCATAGAGACACAGAAATACAGGGGGCCATAGAGATACAGATATATGGGGGGTCATAGAGATACAGAGATACAGGGGAACAAAAAACACAGATATACAGAGATACAGGGGGCCATAGATATACAGAGATACTGGGGGCCATAGAGATACAGAGATACGGGGGCATAGAGATACAGAGATGCAGGGGCCATAGAGATACAGAGATACAGGGGGCCATTCAAACAGAGATAAGGAGATACAGACATTTATACAGCAAATTCAGATAGAAAGATACAAGACTAAAAAAAGACTAAGAAAGACTAAAGAAAAGAAAAGAAAACAAATATATGTTGAAATATAGAAAAATAGAAAGATAGAAAGATAGAAGGATAGAAAGAAAATGAGATGCAGAGAAGGGCTATCAGAGAATCTCAGAACCAGATTTCCGACATACTGCAGTCAATTGTAGAACATGAGGAGTTACAGCATAATATCAATTTATCACACGACGGAAAGGGGTGCAGTAACAAAAATGGGGGGGGGGCAACTTTCCAGGAGACTGAAGTTACTTTAAAAATTAACACTTTGAAATTTTAAACCCCTGGATCTCTTTCATTCTTAAACACTTTAAAACCTTAAATTTGATAAAAATTTCATATCTTAAATCCTATTGTTAAGCATTCTTTCTATCATATCTAGTAATAGTATACTTTATTTATAGATTGTACAAAAGACAAATATGCATTGGTCGGCAGTGGTCAGCGTTAATATCTATCTAAGTTTTGATTTCTGACAAGCTATTTTCAAATTAATTGACAGATTCTTCTTGATTCCATGTTTTTATGTATCTATGCTGTTAGAACGCTTGGTAGAAATCAAAAATAGAAAAATCGAAAGTCGTCTTCATTTTATTGATATATATGACCATAATTATATTTTTTTTTTAATTATTAAAGTGAGTATAATGGAAAAATTATTGGGAGTATATGGTGTGGTACAATATTTAATTCTATTTGATGCTTCTGTAAAGGAAAACTGATATGAAACCGTTTCCTTTTTCCTTTTCCGGTTTAAAAAATCCCAGATGTCTGATTGCGAATAAATACTACAATTTCACCAAATAATAGTCAAAAAATACTATAATAGAAATATTGAATTCTGTCGTTTTTCTCATAGAAAAATGTTTGATTGAATTTAAAAACCTGTGCCCACTTTTATATTCCCTAACATTATTTCTGGTTTTTTTAAACACTTTCATACTCTCATACCCCTTTCATCCCCCTTTCATCGCCCTTTCTCTAATTATGATTTTTAAAATCAGATATATTTTACAAATGAAAGCTAAAATCATGTACGCAAAGATTAAATTGTATTTTGATTATATTAGAAAAAAATATCAAAAATCAGTTCTTAAAATTTCATTTTTTTATGTCCATATTGATAAAACTTATTTTATACTTTTAATTTCTTAAAAAACAAAAATATATTGTAAAAATGATGTTTCTTAATAAAAAATTGAAAGATTTACATAGATGTGTTTTGATTGATAAAAGTGAAAGATCTAAAAGTTTTTTTAAAAAGAATTTCTTGATTTCTTTACGTTTAGGAAATTATCTATGGCTTTCCCAGTAACTTAGTTCATATTTATATTTCAATAAAATATATATAATCTTAAATTTAGAATTCTTTTTATCCTGAAATTCTAAATAACAGAATTTCATACATATTCGATATGTTTAAATTAATTGTTTCAATCTTTTAATTCTAAAAAATATTCTTTTTGTTGATGCTGTACATTTTTAAGATTCAGTCGTAAAAAGAATACTTAAATTCTGTGAACGTGGATTTTTTCAGTTCGGTTCTTAAATATCCCAGCTCAAGCTTTGACCTTTGATCACAATTTAAACTCTTTTCTATAAAACTTCTTGTTGGCAGAAACATTCGAAATGAGAAAGGAAAAAATCCTTAAGTTTAAAGATGGATGAATCATACAGACAAAAACGAGGGATTAAATTTAAATTGAAGAAACCGAACACATCTCGTCCTCGTTAGTCAAGAAAGGGTTACAGTAGAGATAAGAGAGTTACAGAGATCGATTAACACCTATAATATGCGATATTTTCCACAGCATGTTCTATTGTGAGTACTGTACACGACCAATCAGGAGACATCTGTATTCATGGGATATTTAAGGATCCTTTGAATAGGAAATGCAAAATAGACGATATTCATAAACGTTATGTTTTATGTTTAAAATTGGAGTATTTCTTTAAAAGTTGTAAAACTTAACCCTGAATGCAAGTCAAAAACCTTACATGGAACCGTATAATGGCGTGCCGGGACACTATAGGCCTACTCAGCCTATCCAGGTAGAGTGTATGAGCAGTCTGTGTAGTCTGTGGGTTACAGATTGCTTGTTTATCAAGAATACAGTTGTGAATCGGGTATTCCCATCTTTGCATTGAAATTTCGCTTCTTCACAGATCTCGTATATTTTCTTTTAGTCATAATTTCCATATATTTACAAACATTGAACAAATTTTTGTTGTGAAATTCTAATTTTTAAATCAATCATTCAAGACATTTTCAGGAAGTATTGTTGTCCATGATAGATAAAGGAATTGAGTCTTTGCAACAAACTGTAATTTTTTTATCCACAAATCATTGCACCCCAATGACTTAAACCTTAAATTTTTCAAACTATGATTCTGCTAGACCAAATTATCGAAGTTTGAAATGGCAAAAGTTTACGCAATCAGGTTGCAAAGATGTAGGAGTTAAAAATTTTGGGTTTATGACCAAGACTCAATTCCTTTAAGCTAACAATTGAATTTGATGACTAAACGTTTACTATATTGTCTTAAAGTACAGAGCAAAGAAAATATCTAAATAATAACAAGTCAAGTAAAGGTAAATTAGAAGAAAATATCTAAATAATATCATGTCAAGTAAAGGTAAATTAGAAGAAAATATCTAAAATTAATATCAAGTCAAGTAAAGGTAAATTAGAAGAAAATATCTAAAATTAATATCAAGTCAAGTAAAGGTAAATTAGAAGAAAATATCTCAAATTAATATCATGTCAAGTAAAGGTAAATTAGAAGAAAATATCTTAATAATATCATGTCAAGTAAAGGTAAATTAGAAGAAAATATCTAAATAATATCATGTCAAGTAAAGGAAAATTAGAAGAAAATATCTAAAATTAATATCATGTCAAGTAAAGGTAAATTAGAAGAAAATATCTAAAATTAATATTAAGTCACGTAAAAGTAAATTAGAAAACTTGAATCATTTATTAAAAAATCCTTTTCCTCTCAACTCATTCTTTTATTGTTAATAATTTCTTGAGGGCAGAGTTGACTGTGGTATAGTGAACATAAAAATATGTTTTCTATACAACTTTTGAAAAGGGAGGGGGATAGGGGGGGAAGGGGGTAATAATAAGAAAAAATCATTGTAAGGAGATTGCTCCCCCTTTTGAAAATATCTCACTTTTATTTTCTAATTAAGCCATGTTTTTGAAACACAATGTCATGGAACTTTGACATTTTTTGTTAGATCAAATAATCAAAGTTTAAAATATCTAAAAGCTTACACAATCAGGGTTCAAAGATATATGGATTAAAACATTTGAGTTTGTGAAAAAATTCAATTCCTTCGGAACACAACTCAGCTTTTAAGGGCTTGAAAGTTTAATGTTAGCTTAAAATACTCAATTATGTTTGCAAAATTATCTCAAAGTTTCAAGTTAAAAATTACGCATATTTTAAAGTAGGTAAACAATCCCTTTAAAAAGATTGTTTGTGTATTTTTCAAGTTTATTCATAAAATTTAAGGTTTTGAAAGTTTGAACAAGGTTCATAACTACTGCAGTTGAACTGTTTTAACTCATAACAACCTAGATTTATCAATTCATTAATAACCTTAAATTAAAAATTTTTTCCTTTTTCGATTTTTGTTTTGAGTTTTCAGACCCTGGGGTACGAGAAATAATAAAAAAAAAGTAAAATTTGTTTTTTCTTCATGAACGAATTTATTTAAACTTTAACGCATGCCAATTCTTTTTTTAACATTTCAATAAAAATAACAGATACTAATTAAAAATGAAATAATAAAAGTTCTATTTTATCTTTTTTATGAAAGGGAGTGACTGGCTAGGTATGGTAGTTGAACTGAGAGTACAGTACTTTAGAATAAATATCAGGATTCCGTTGAGACGATTTACTTTTGCCTTTTCTGTGTTATTCTTTTTGTCGCCGGACACATTTAAAATGAAGAAGTATAAGAAGACAAATCGAAACAAAAATAAAGATTGTTGAATTTTATATAAACCAAACCAAGATTGAATTCAAATAGATGGTCCTTTATATTGGTCGCCCTCCCCACCTGCAGATGGTGGAGCGTCTACGTTCCCTGGAGTTGGACCTTCCTTCATATTGGTCGCCCGTCCGACCTGCAGATTGGAGCGTCTACGTTCCCTGGAGTTGGACCTTCCATCATATTGGTCACCCGTCCCACCTGCAGATTGGAGCGTCTACGTTCCCTGAAGTTGGACCTTCCTTCATATTGGTCGCCTGTCCCACCTGCAGATGGTGGAGCGTCTACGTTCCCTGGAGTTGGACCTTCCTTCATATTGGTCGCCCGTCCCACCTGCAGATGGTGGAGCGTCTACGTTCCCTGGAGTTGGACNTGCAGATGGTGGAGCCTCTACGTTCCCTGGACCTTCCTTCATAGTGGTCGCCGTCCCACCTGCAGATGGTGGAGCGTCTACGTTCCCTGGAGTTGGACCTTCCTTCATATTGGTCGCCCGTCCCACCTGCAGATGGTGGAGCGTCTACGTTCCCTGGAGTTGGACCTTCCTTCATATTGGTCGCCCGTCCCACCTGCAGATTGGAGCGTCTAGGTTCCCTGGAGTTGGACCTTCCTTACGGTTTCTGCCAAATCTTAAAGAGAGAGTCTGAGAAAAGTTTAATGTAATCTTTTATCTTATTAATTGGTATCAAAGAAAGTTTAGATATCAAAGAGAAACCTAGACCCTGATGAATCAAAATAATTTTGTGTTTTTCTTTCTTTCTACGAATTCTGGTATTTTACTTCTTATTCAAATATGTAAAACTAGAAATTCAAGGCGCTTCGCGCCCATCTTCTAAATTAGTTGTGAACATGTTCTCTTTGTGTACATCGTAAAACAAAACAAAAAATAATTCGCGGATTTTCACAAAAAATTTCGCGGATTTTCAAAATTTTTAAAAATTTAATGACGATCGAATTTTGATGGAGACAAATATTTGAAATTTTGATTTTTCATAAACCTTCCCTGGGGTCCCTAGATGTCCCACAAAAAATTTGGGCCCGATCGGTTCAGCCGTTTTGACGTTTATTGGATACAAACAAACAGACAGACAGACAGACAGACAGACAAGCCAAATTTATATATAGATGTAGAAGGGAAAATATTACTCTGTACACTTTACATACCCATCCACCCATGGCAGTCCAAGGTTTTAACCAGTTTTAAAACCCGGCTTTCACGAATGGGGTTGGGCAGTTTTGTATTTTTGTAATAAAATATTATTTTTTTCAGTTTGTTTATATTCTCCATTTTGTCGAATCTCTTAAATCAAATCTACAAAATGTTAAAACCCCAAAAAGGAAACTCGGGAGTTCCGTTCATTTAAATTACGGGTTCTGAGCCCAAAACTTAAGACAGGGTTTCGTTCTGAAAATCAGTTTTAAAAACCGGATTTCACGAATGGGGTTAGGCAGTTTTGTAGAGATCAATATTTTTGTAAAGAATATTATTTTATTTGGTTTCTTCATATTCTCCATTTTTCGAATCTCTTAAATCAAAATCTACACAAATGTTAAGACCCCAAAAAGGAAACTTGGGAGTTTCCTTCAACGATACTCTTTTAAATTTCGGGGCTCAGAGGGCAAAACTTAAAAGAAATTTACCGGGTATCCCAAACCAAACCTGGCCACGAAACCGGGTTAGCTCTCTTAAGTCTGGGTTTGAGTTTCGTAAGGGTTTCGGGAAACTCAGGAAACTCAGAATGTTACGGGGCAATACCTCAAAATTATCAGTTAAGATCTCTCTCTATAGACTCGATAGTGAATAGAGTACAGTCAAATCGAACTTAAAACATTTTTTCTGTTATAAGTGAATACAGTAATTCATTTAAGTTCATCTGCAAGGATATCATAATTTGGAAATTGTTTTCAATATTTCAGTGAAATGAATCAGAGAGAATTGTGATCATTTCAGAAATGTTCTTTATTTAATCGATTTGTAAAACCCCTCCCTATCTTATTCCTACATTCATATATAATACCCTCCTAGATATAAAAATATTATCATTCCCGTAATTTCCAATCATTGTTTAATACAGAACAATAAGTTATCAAAAAGTTATTTTTGTTTAAAAAAAAATAAGATTGTATATTCTATTCTTGACCAGATTTAATGAATAACGAGAAGTATTCAAATCGTGCACAAGATAACTGTTTCAACTTTGCCTACTTCTCAATCTTCAAAAAATAACGTCCTTGGTTTTTTATTAATATGACGTTATACACCATAAGAAAATTAGATTTAAATGTTAATGAATATCGAGAAGAAGTGTAGAACTATAATGAACTAGCTACAGTCAAACAACCTTCTTTACTATCCACCTCTGACTAATCTGATTAAAAAATCAACAAATATATTTATCATAATTAATTTAGCAAAAATATTCTTTCTGTGGTATCTGGGAACCACAAATACGTGCAATAAATGGTATCTAAAAATCTACACTTCATGAGATTTATACAAGTACTTAAACCTGTTTATATCTATTTTTTCCGCGCTTACGCGCGCAAATTGTGCCCCCCCCCAAACAAAAGCCCTCATACGCCCCTGGTGCTATAGTCATCTAGGTAATTTCTTTGAGAACGATTCTAGACCCTGCCCCCGGTATATTTGTAGAGAACGAGATGAGGTACAGTACAACTGTGTACAATGTACATACTCCACCACCAAGCCAGGTTAAGTTTTAGTATAGACTATACAGAACAAAGTTCAAATTCACATCAAACTGAAGTGAAAGTCAAACATTTTTGACATTACTTTTGTGACTTTGTGACCTTGTAAGCTCTAGCTCCGCTTATTTTGATGAGAAACCAAAAAAAAAAATTTCTTCTTTATTTCTTTATAGGAGGGATTGTAATTAACACATACAAGAATTCAATCTTACATGGGCCCGATCGGTTCAGCCGTTTTGACGTTTATTGGATACAAACAAACAGACAGACAGACAGACAGACAGACAAGCCAAATTTATATATAGATGTAGAAGGGAAAATATTACTCTGTACACTTTACATACCCATCCACCCATGGCAGTCCAAGGTTTTAACCAGTTTTAAAACCCGGCTTTCACGAATGGGGTTGGGCAGTTTTGTATTTTTGTAATAAAATATTATTTTTTTCAGTTTGTTTATATTCTCCATTTTGTCGAATCTCTTAAATCAAATCTACAAAATGTTAAAACCCCAAAAAGGAAACTCGGGAGTTCCGTTCATTTAAATTACGGGTTCTGAGCCCAAAACTTAAGACAGGGTTTCGTTCTGAAAATCAGTTTTAAAAACCGGATTTCACGAATGGGGTTAGGCAGTTTTGTAGAGATCAATATTTTTGTAAAGAATATTATTTTATTTGGTTTCTTCATATTCTCCATTTTTCGAATCTCTTAAATCAAAATCTACACAAATGTTAAGACCCCAAAAAGGAAACTTGGGAGTTTCCTTCAACGATACTCTTTTAAATTTCGGGGCTCAGAGGGCAAAACTTAAAAGAAATTTACCGGGTATC